TTTATATTACATTTATTTTTTGTTTTCATACTCTAGACTTAAACATGTGATCACAGTTAGTCATACTTCTTTAGAGTAATATCTAATATCTTTAGTTCATATCAGCCACTTTTTGTAAATTTACAAGTCAACATTTGTCAAACAGATGAGCCCCCTGACACGCCACAGACCGCCTCGAGTGAAACCAGTGGTTCATCCAATGATGAGGACCCCTCCTTCTGCCTTCTCGTATATAACAGAATTACGAAGAACCCTGGAGTCGTGAACACTTCCTGGCCATCCGATGTTGATGTTTGTGAAACTATTGGGGTGGAGGTATTAATTGTACATTAATAAAGAGAAAAACATGATATCTGAGTAAAGACAGTGACATAAACAAATAAAATACAACACGTAATAACACAATAACATGGGAAAAGGCATAGCAACAACCAAGGAGACAAATCAATATAAATTATGTATGTCCTTACCAGTATTTGTGGTCCACAACTGCTTGCAAGATCACAGAAATGCCATCCCTTGCGATTAAAATAATCTGTATGGTTCTCAGGTGGAGCGATGACTGGGATATGACTCCCGTCTATAGCCCCGGCACACTGAGGGAAACCCCAGCGATTTTTAAAGCCTAGAAGTACGGTTTGGAGCTCTTCACCTTCTGGCAACTTGATGTACTCGCGCATCATCTCATTTCGCACGGCATGGCAAAACTCCCGGACTATTAGGCATACTGATGCGTCACTTATGCCAAACAGATGTGCCAGTGTTCGATAACCAGCTCCTGTCGCGAGCCACCATAGTCCAACTCCAACGTGCTTCTGTACTGAGATTGCCTGGCGAAATGTTGTGTCCTCGTAAGAGAGCATTGGTGACAACCGCACACACAACATTTTAAAAGTTTCTCGTCGCATACGAAAGTTGCTGATCCACAGTTCTTGACCCCAGGTTCCAACAACGCGATCCCACCAGTCGAGTCCTTTGCCGCATCCAAACCTCCCTTTGAAACGATGTTGCAGCGATCATCGCTAAATTCGCCCAGGCTGCAACAAGGGGTTTCCTCTTTTTTCTCCGCCGTACGAGACCAATGTTTTGCTGACTTTTTTGCTGATTTCTCAAAATATTGTGGAAAGCAAAACACTGGATAATTTTCTTCGCATCTGCATCCATTGCATTTCGTGCTGTTTTACTTCCTTTTCCGGGTCAGAACGTCTACATTTGGTAGTTTCAGCAGTGTATAGTGTAAATGCAAAAATCGGATACGGGTCACTTTTAACACTAAAAGTGCCAGAATTTCATAACTACTAGAACTGCCACAAGTGGTGATTTTGACCGTTAGATTGCAATCTCTATATCTTTAATGATAAATACCCAATTGAGAGATTAATGCATTTATTGTATTAGGATATCTTTTAAAAACAAAACAACACCAAACTGTACATTTAAAAAAGTTTAATTATACATTTATAAATAATATCAGTAGCCCGTAATTATCGCATATTCACAACAGATAGCTATATTTCCATATCCATTCAACATAACTCAGAACAAGATAATAACAACTAAAAGTATCTTATTTTAGATATTCTTTTGACAGTGAGAGAGACAATGTCACGGTTTATGAATTCGCTGTCTCCTTTCTCGTCTTGTTGTGTGTGTGTGTGTGTGTGCGTGCGTGGTCGCTGATCATTGCAGCTGATCAGCACGTCCGCTCTGATCAACGCGCCAGCTGCAACTGATCAGCATTCGACCTTTTTTAGTGTTACTGTTGTCGCCTAGTCTTTGTCAGATCGTTGTGGATTTTTCCTGCGTGTTTGTTCCCTGCCTGTATCCGTTTTCCGTGTGTTATCCCGTGTTCAGCACTCCATGGTTCTACACGCAGCGTCCCTGTGCTGCCAAGGGACATTTGCACACCTTAACTCTCCCAGCATCTGACCAGCTCTCAATAAACATATATGTCATTTTGCAATTGAATCTTCTGATTATTTCCTAATAGACAAAGGTCAACCGCGAGAAATGTAACAAAAGAATACTGCGAAATTCAGTGCGGTCAATATGACCGTCTATGGCCGAAATAGGTAAATATGTTCATTTGGTTTTTTTTGCCTTATGTGTAATTTATATTAAAAACATTTTAAATGAAAATCCAGACACTTTTAGGAAAAGTCAGGTACCAGCAGGATTTTATTTATTTTTTCAACAAAGTTATTGCGGATATAAAATTCAAAACGGTCAAAATGACCGCCGTGGCCGTTCTAGTGTTAAAAGATGATGTAAGCGGGTCGTCAAAAAAATCTTGGGCATCAAGACCTGCAGTGTAAATGCAGCCTGTGTGTCTGCCCAGGTGTACAACTGCTTGTTTGTCTTCTGCAGGTCCTGTGTGCACACCTGTCTCCAGTTGGTAATCAGCGGTAGCTGGTACAAAGAGCAGAGAACGGGCAGAATGTTGAGAAGAGAGCATGGAGAGCGGAGACCAACCTCCTCCCCTGGACTTTCCACTGGAGGTTCGTAACAATTTGGGGGCTCGTCCGGGATCTGTTTTCCCAAACATTTCAGGTTGCAAGGAAGAAAGCTGTAAGCATTTATCATTTTTATTTTAAGGGTGTTGAAAACTGTTTTACTGTTGCAAGTGGTGGGTTTTCACTGTCCAGTCTTTCCAGAGAAGAACTTTTCCCCAGCTAGTTAGAAGTGTCTAGCCAGGCTGTTCTGCAGTCTTTCCATCAGGCACTTGGTTGTTATTTTTCCTTTATTATTTTCGGGGGCGAATCCTGGGTGGGGACGAGATCCCGCCGAAGTTCGCCTTTAAAGTCGCCTCGAGCCCGGCAAGCCCCAGAAGACAGCTTAGGCTAAGCTTTGGGTAGGCAGGCCCTGGGGAAGTGGTTATTCTTTTGAAAAAGCTGGTGTGTGCCTATTCTATTGTGTAACCTACGCAAACTTTTTTTTTTGTTGCGTGTCTGCGTACACTGGTTGTTTGTTGTGCTGTCGTTTGTGTTTGTGTTAGTCAGGTAGCTACTGTGGTGAGGATGGCTGTGTTTAGTTTAGAAGAGTTTGTAGCAAACCCTACGCTAGACCAGCTGGATGGATGTAAGAAAGCTGACCCGTTTGCTATCGCTAAACATTATGGTTTTTCTGCTTCTAGTTCTCTGGTTAAAGCAGAGTTGTGGGCAGCTGTGACTGACGGGTTAGTGCAGATTGGTGTTTTGAGTTTGTCAGATTTGCCTGCTGGGGCAGCAGCGAAACAATCTACACATTCACATATCTTCACATTTTTATGTGAAGTAGCCTATAGAATATAAGTTTATATATAAGTATAAACGGACATTCTCATCTCTCCCCCGCCCCCAGAGTGTGGAAGAACAGCAGGAAGAAGGTCCATCAACTTCTGGTGCACAGATGAACACAGTTCAGCGATTTTCAGTAAATGCCACATTTTAATTCTGTAGAATATGTTTAGAACTTGGAAATCGAGATTCTGAAACTAAAGCTAGAGGTCAGTGTATGGTCACAGGTGAATTCTAGGAAGTATTGAAACTATATTAAAATGTAACTGTTGTTTTTAAATTTGTAGGAAATAAAGAACACCATATAAATTGTTGTGATTTTGTGTTTATTCATTTTTTTTTTATTATTTTATGGTTGGTTGTGGTGGTGGATGTCATGTGTATTACAGTTTTTCTCAATTGCTAAAACACTAAAACCCATTGGCTGAACAAAGTTCTCAGTTGCCTGAACTCATTTAGCTAATTGTGCAGTCTGTTGTCAATACCTTAAACTATTTCACATGGCAAAACACAATTTGCAGATCTTACTTAGACTTTTCAGCAAAACGCTAAACACATTCTCATTCTCAAAACATATTCTGCACTGTAATGCACACGTCATCCATACTGGTAAACACAAGTGGCAATGATCAAATACAAATAGAGAACAAATGTCATTGATTGAACACAACCACTCAAAATTGATTTAACCTGTTTCAAATGATGCCCAAAGACAAGAAGAAGCACACTGATCACGTTTACTCATTTGATTTTTGTCCCTTTTAGTATTGTATACTGTAGTACATTGTAGGCTGTATACTGTACAATGAACACATTATATGGTCCCGAACATCGTTACTGTAACAGTACCATTTGTTACAGTACTGAATGCTCAATAGATTTTACTGGTTGCACTTGCAGGTTCATATCAACAAAGAACAAGAATTACAGTATCAAACAATAGAACTGACAAAGGAGAAGTTTGTGAGATGCAGGGCACTGTACTGTAAAAATAGGGGTACAAGGAGGAGGAAGAACAAATAAAATTGCAAAGAGCAAAGCAGAGTAGTAATTTCTGATCAATTTTGCGCTACTATGATGTTTTCATTCATCAAAAGACAATGACGGACAAATATGAAATTTGTTTTAAGATTAAAAATGTACTTCTCCCTGAAATCTTGATGGTAAAGTAATGTGTCACGGGTAAGTCTACAAACAGAATAGCCGTCCGTAGATATCTTTCGAGAACTGTATGTTTTGAACAATGTGTTTTCTATTTTTTGGTGTATTGTTTACTGACTGCTTGATAGTGTATATCATTTTGATCACTTTGTCTATGATTTGAGAGCAGTGTTTGATTTTGAACACAAGTAAAACTGTTTTGAGGCGAAAGTTTCATTTTGCAAGAAGAGTCAGAGGTTTTGTAAATAGTGCTTGAAGATGAGGTTTTGTGTTTAATGTTTTCAGAAAAAGGAGCAAGGATTCAGAAATTGTGTTTTAGCAATTGAGAAAAACTGTAATCTGAGAAGACATTGCGGCATATCATATCTCGGACCACCCTTCCATCCTGGAAATCTGCGGGGTTGATGGGATCTTCCTCCAGGTCTTATATTTGTAAGGCAGGGTATTGCTCCCCTCTAATTATGGTAATATTGTGGAGAACAACACATGCCACAATAATGTCGCAGGCCCTTTTAGGGGTTACCCTGAGGTGACGTAGGCACTGGAAACGTGGTTTAAGTCATCTCCATTCGGGCTCTCGTCCTGCAGTGTGCCACATTGAAGCGCTGCTGGGGGCCTGGATCAGGTTCTGGGTAAGGGGTAATAAGATTTGGTCGGCATGGGTAACCCCTATCTCCCAGCAGAAAGCCATCAATCTCTCCTGTAAGAAAGTTCACATTGCTTTAGTGCTGCATAGAAGTTCCCCTGTAAGTGTGTAGTGCATACATTGAAATACGTGTATAGGATATACATTTACTTACGCCTTTCCAGTCTGTTGCTCAGGGTTGACTCCCGATACATTCTTGAGTCATGAACAGAGCCGGGCCACTTGGCCTCCACATTTGTGATGATATGTGCAGCATCACATATGATCTTGACAGTGCAAAGAATGAGAGATGTTACAGTATTGTGATGTAGTCTTTGACAATTAGAAACAGTAGGCTGTCAGTGTACCTGCACATTAATACTGTGGATGGACCTCCTGTTGACATAGTCCGCTTCATTTTCAGAAGGTGCAATGATCGGAATATGTGTGCCATTAATGCATCCAACCACATTGCTACCCATTAAATGAAATGACCTATAAAAACAAATAAACAAAGTCTTACCGCGCTCCCTGTCACATGGCTTGTTTTGAATTAATGTTTAAACAGAAAAGTAATATTATCCTCAAAGATGACAAAATTACACTATCAAAAAGACAAGAACTATGAAGCAAATGGAAACCACCATGATGAAGAGGTAAACTGAACTGCCTCACACAGTCTTACAGCCTCTTGGTATATGTCTGTGCCGAAAGAGGTGCTGCTCATCAATGGATTAATATTCCCTTCGAAGCACAGCCCGCGATGCATCCTGGAGAGAAGTGGGCGATTTCAACACTCTGAGCATCATCTGGTGGTGGTACCTGACCATCCCAATCTACTGCCCAATATGTGAAATCAGTCTAAAAAATAAATTTACATTATGAAATTCACTTGTAGTGTTTCATTTCAGGTTTTTGATGTTATGCTGTACAAAAAACAGTGTCAGGCTACTCACTGGATCACTTGGGGCCTCTGTTGTTAGAAGCTGGCCTCCCACGCACAGCTGCTGTGGAGAACGGTTCCCCTCAGAGAGTTCTCCGGAGCAGATCCAGGTGCGTTGATCCGAGGCAGCATCACGTAATGTAGGCAGATAACATTTCATTTTGAATGTCCAGAGTGCCACTTTCTTGAAGGCACTGGAAGGCAGGATAATAATTTGAAGTGACTGCACACCAGATGTCTTGCCAAAGACACTCAATCCTCTGGTTGTGTACACTTCTGCCAGTAATAAAACTGGTCTTTTCTAGAAAGAAAAAAAAAATCATACAATTATTATTACCTGGCAGCAAGGTGTCCCAACAGGATGGAATCAACCAGACTTTAATGGAGTTTCTTTAACAGAATACAACTCAGGAAGCTGGGTGAAATACAGTATTGTGGAGGTTAATTGAGCCAGTAAGTGATATCAATTATCTGACGTGCAATAGTTAATGCGTAAAGTAAAGTAAAAATAGTAAAGTATCTGGGACTCAGCTTGCAGCGGGTTGGTCAGAGGCGAATGTCCCTGGTTGAAAGAGTCCTTTTGTCCCGGGTGGTGTATTAGTGTCTGCTCTTCTGACATTGGCCTGGCTCTTATGCTTACTAACAGCCCTTTGCAGATGGACATGAGCTGAGTCCCAGACCTTTTTGCTTATTCATTCGGTTACAGCACAAAATATTCCCAAAATACTGAATAAAATACACCATTAAATGATTTTAGCTTTTGTGAAGCAACCACCAAGTAATTAAAAATAATAATATTACAAAAAGATAATTATTAGATAAATATTTATTTAAAATAACAGAAGTGACATTCTTTATAGTTACCTGTTCCACGAAGAGGGTGTTCCAGCATAAACCGGGCAACCTCCACATTCTCTCCACCCTTGTCGCTTCTTACCCTCACAGGTAATCCGAAATCTTTAACAGCAGCAAGAAAGCAACTCACAGTTGTTGCTTGATTGTTGTTGCTGGCTCTCAGAAACATTATTTTTCGGCTGTACGCATCAATACCTCCATGAATAACAATTCGCCAGCTGTACAAAAACAGACATAGAATATTTGCATTCCGGCCTAATGTGTACGTTTTTTTAATTTTATTTTTTTTATTAATCTTTTCGTAAAAATTGTTAACAATCACAATAAGTTCAACAATAAGTGACAGAAACAAAACCTCCCCCAGCTTTCATTCATAGATGTTATAAGTCATACATATTTTTACTCCAAGAAATTAAATGAGTATGTGACTGACTGCATTAATATATGAATATATGAGAAAAAATCAAATAAACACAAATAAATGAATACAATTACTTTGATAATGCATACTAATAATATATACATATGTATACATCATGGCCACACATACTTACAAACTCATAGCATATGCCTCTATGTTCATACCCATCAATGAAAAATGAGTTAGCTAAGTAGGTAAAAAGAATATATGAATGGGAGAACTAATGTCTAAGTTTACAAGAAACATTTTAGGGGCAAGTTTGGTAGGATTCATAAAAAGTTGCGTCACAAATAATACTACAAAAAATATGTAAAAACAAACCATATAAATTAAAGTCTCACTTGATCAGTTTGTGATTTCCATCAATGTGCCATAGTGCCAATGGTGCTCCTACACAGTACGATCTCCTCTGTATGATGTTGAGCTGAACTCCTCATAGAACTGTCCCCAGTGGATCCACTGCTTTAAAGGGGTCATATAATGGTACATGCACTTTTTCAAGTTGATTGTACTGAAATGTGTGTTGGCAGTGCCTGTACACAACCATCATATAATGATAAAAATCTATCCAGTGTTTTAGTTTTAATCTCCTTATATGTTTTTCCCTGTCTCAAATCGAGCCGTTCGACCGTGTGACGTCACATGGTCGGACACCCCTCCCACGATTGTTGATTGACAGCAGCGTTTCAACACAGACCCTTCCTGTGCGAGCTGTCATCATAGTCCGCCATTGTTGATACGCTGGAGCAGAATGGAGTCTAAGTGATTGTGGTGTTCTGTTCTTGGGTGTAATAACGAACACAGTCATTTTGATGTTCCTAAATCCGAAACGCTGAAATCATTTCTCACCAGACTGCTTTATAAACGAGGGTCAGTATAAAGCTGGTTCTGCTAAGAAGCTGCTCCTGAAAAAAGAATCGGTACCACTTATTCATGTTCCTGCTGCACCTCCAGAAGAAGTGAGTGTAAAATTGTATTAACCTTTATATTAATCTTTGCAAATCGCTTGCACGCTTTACGATGAATGCGGCTAAGGTTTACACTCAGGGTACATTTTCTATGTACGACGTTCTCAATATAATTCATAATCCCACGTTTATAATGAACAACGTGTTATGGTTATTGTGTTATTACAAACTGAGTACGTATACATCAGTAAAAACATGGCGTTCGTACATCTCACCAAGTTACTCTACCCTGCCAGTGCATACAAAAATAGATCAAAGTGACATTACGTTAACCAACCATTCAGAAACGTCCTTTTCGAGCCTTAATTGTTGAACTTCTTTACGGCCGTCATCTTGTTTCCGGGTCCGACTCCGGTTCAAACTGATACGGTTGCAGAGATGTGTCCTCAGAGACTCCCGCTGCCATTCTTTCTCCAAAATATACCCTCAACTGTTGTCAAGGCAACACCAATTTGTGTTGTATCAAAACGCCCACAGAACAGAGGGGCAGAGTGAGCGAAGCTCATTATCATTTAAAGGCATATGCACTGAGACGGCGTGCTGAAAACAGAGCTGTTTTTGACCAGGTAAAATAAGTGTTTTCTTACAATACTAAATAGAATTTTTAATTAAAGTATATTACAAACTTTTCATTTAGACCCTAAAGAATCAAATTAACTTGTATGAAAATGGCATTATATGACCCCTTTAAGCATGGCTAGTAGCCGTGATCGTTGTACTCTAGTGGTAAAGAAAGTGTGTAAAATAAATAAAACATATGTAACAAATAAAGCTTCTGTTGTAGAATACTCTCAGCAGCATAGAATGTTTCATTTGTATGAGAGATACACATATATTAATAAAATAATATTTGAAAAGCAATTGTTTCATTAAAGATATTTATGAAAGCATGTGAGGGTGTCTGTATGTGGGGACAGGGGCTTGAAATCCCTTTCAGCTGTAATGATTGCTTTTCCTCTGTTAATAACAACATTTAGAGACATAGCATTGCTCATAAGCTCTTACCTAACACCACAAGCTTGCAAAAACCCACTAGCCAGTCTGAAGCCAGAGTTTGGGAACTGTGAAGTGAACTCTTCAAGATGTTGTCTGAGGTCCTCATTAGAGATAACGCTGTATGCCTGTCTAACTGACAGACTGAACTCACGGAGTCTTCTCTTGACAGTTGATTTACTCACACCCAATAATCTGGCCATGTCTGGGACTGAAAACTGACACTCGAGCAGAAACTCCAGCTGGTCGTAGGTGATTCTTAAAGTTGGGCGTCCTCTGTCACCGGTACATAAAGCTGGAACTCTAAATCGTTTAATGGTATTGTTCATGTTTTCTTGTGGAAGATCACTAGCTCTGGATATTTTTCCGATTATTGGTTTGATACACTCATGAGGCAGATCAACACACTGCAGCAAAAATACCATAACATTTTCTGCCTGCTGGATTACAGTATCTGTCTGTTCAGACGGATCGTGTTCAATGTTTTGACTAAGGTGTTAACCCCATAGTTTTGGACAATGACTGAAAGAGTTGTCAGAAGCTTAGTGATGGTGATGTTGAATTCGTGGGACCTTGGTATAGTTTGTTTAGCCTACCTTTAGAGTTTTGCTTCTAGCGACTGTTTTGTTGATCGCAGAGCTTATTTTTTTAACACAAACTTTGTTTATGCTTTATGAGAAAGCCTAAAGTCGTTTTAACGGCTTTAAATATCAAGGTTTTAAGTTTGAAATGGTTTTGTAGTTTTTTGATGTAGTTTTTTTTTTTTTCCTTCATTCGAGAAACAAAATTAATGAGACCGTTGTTGCGAGATTTCATTGGTGATTTATCTTCGGTGAACAGCTTTGGAGAATTCAAGGTTTACCCGTTCAAAGAGTAGCTGACTTGCCTAAAATGAACTTTGTTTGATCATATTCCATCAACGTAAATCTATGTCCACCGGTCTTCCTCAAGGATCTATTTTAGGGCCTCTATTGTTCTCACTTTATATAAATGACCTTCCGTCAGTCTGTCCTGATGTCTCTATGCAGATGTATGCTGATGACACTGTAGTCTATGTCCATGGTAAGAATATCTATCAGGTGGCTGAGAAGCTCACTAAATCCATGGATAACATTACAGCTTGGTTGAAACAATCCTGCCTGCAGCTGAATAGTTCAAAAACAGTAGCAATGTTTTTCACAAAGTCCCACAAAAACTTTAGTGTTGAGCCAGATATTTTCGTTTCTGGGGAAAGGCTGCAGATCGTGTCAGAATACAAATATCTGGGGGTTCTGATTGATTCAAAATTGTCGTTTACATCGCATGTAAAAAGGGTCTGTAATCGTATCAAATTTAACCTCATGCATTTTAGACACATTCACCATCAAATGTCCACACAGGCAGCAAAAATGTACATGCACTCTATGATCTTATCACATATCACTTACTGTCTACCCATCTGGTCACAAGCTGGTGTTACGTCTCTGAAACCTCTGCAGTCACTTTACAAACGATCTGTTAAAATTCTGGATAAGAGATAAATTATTTCTCATCATTGTCCAATATTACAAAAACATAGATTACTCAGCTGGGAAAACATGGTCAAATACTCAAACCTATGTCTCCTATACAAAATTATTCATGGTCTATCATCCCCTCCACTTCACCAGTTTGTTAACATCCGCACAGCTGATCATAGCAGAACCAGAGGTGCAGCGAGGGGAGATTGTGTCATTCCCTTTAGAAAAAGTGTATTTGGTCATACTTCTTTTTCTGTTCGAGCTGCTACTGAATGGAACCGCATTCCTTTAACCATGCGAAATCTAAACAGTTATTGTACATTTAAGAACCATTTAAAGAAATGGCTTCTTGAATTTCAGAGCTGTCAACATTAACACATTTCTCTAGGCTTCTTGCCTTTTGTGTGTGTATGTTATGTCTCTGTCAGATGTTTGTTTGATTTTTGGTATTGCTGTATTTCGACTGTATTTTTTAACATAATAGGACTTTTTACTAAATGTATTGTACTTTTTTTTTTTTTTTTTTTGTGTATGTGCTTTTTATATGTAATTTATTCTCTTTTAGGGTGACTTTTAACATCTGTGTGAAAAATAACAGATGAAAAATAGCCTTCTGGCTAACTCTGGCATATTGGCAGAAATGTTTATTAATATGCACTGTCCCTGTAATAATAAATAATAATAATAAAAAAAAAAATCTACATTAAGCCAAATTAAGCATTCTTCTTATAATGGTTTTCTATGGGAGGAAAATGCTTAACGTGTAACTAAACATGTTGCGTTCATATTCTGGGCTCATCTGATTTTTTGTACATAGTATAGCCTACTTTATTATGATTTTAGTATCATAATGATTAATAAATGCACGCACAATTATCCGTGAACTTGATAAATGTTGCAGATATGTATTGCACGTAAACAAATGCCTTTCAACTTATGTGTGCAAAATTCTGAATTAAATGAATGTGCAGCAATTTGTACAAATAGAGAGTCTAGGCCTACTATAGCCTACGTGTTGTAGCCATTAAATAAGCGCATTTAGTTTCATATTTGGTAAAATATTATAATGTTATTTTTTTCCATCTATGTTGATTATGAAAAGTGAACAGCATGAGTAAGATGGATGCGCAATATATCGGGAGACATTGAGTTGGTCAGACATGATTTTTTTGACCACTTCATTAAGTTTTGTTTTGAAGAAAGCCTTTCTTTAAAGTGAATTTCGTTTTGAATAAATTGTATCTTAATTTTATCAACCAATTGCCTGGATTTAATAAATAAGAAGCAAATATAGCAGACAATATAATCATGACATGGAGGTGCCGGCGCGGTCACTTGCATTGCACGTGAACTGCAGCATCTCATCATAAATTAACCGAAACTCAGCGTATGCCTCACAGACATGAGAAATATATATAAATAGAAAGCTTGAAATGTCTTTAAACGAAACAATTCAAAACAAAAAGAAATAGGCTACTCTCTGATTATGTAATCCATTTTGTGCATTTCTCTCTGTAGGCGTTCACTACGGAGATGGCGATCGCTGTCAAATCTGTCAAATGACGGAGATCGCTGTCAAATCTGTCCCTGGGAAAAGTAACGTTTCGCCGAATTGAAAAAGGAACTACGTTTCGTTACCAAATTTTCAATAGTAGCGCGTTACACTACTTTTTACCCGAAAAAGTAGTTACGTTAATACTGTACTTTGTAAGTACAGATACACACAACACTGATCAGCGCGTGAAATACGCATTAAAAATCTGTCTGAATGGGTCATTGTCATTGGCTGCTAAAGACTTGGGTCTCACCATTTCTGTGAGCTTAGAGGGGTGTACCTTTCATAGACTAGGCTACCACCAGTTTACATGATCAGCTTATTCAGCCCTTTTTTGTATAACCTATAGAAATAATATATTTAAATTGCAGTTTTATGAAAATTTAGATAAAAACAAAATTGACTTGTTTTTCTCCACTCATGCCTCTTTGTAAATAAACAACATCA